TGTTCTTGGGTCTGAGATCGGCCTCGCAGAATGCTGTTGTGCATGTCAACTGTGTTTTGGAGCGGCGCTGTCTGACTCTGTATTTGCCAAATCCGTCCACATCAATCAAGTCGTAATTACAACACTTTACCCAACATTTTGCGCCAAGGAGCATAACGACTCCGATTGTAACCTGACTAGAGAATTCAGCTCGAAAGAACAGAGATCGCAAGAAATGGCGTAACTGAGGGGCGCATGCCAGAAGCCACACATGCAATATCAACCTGCAGTTCGAGCCTAGTTGGTGGTGGTCGAGATGCACAACACCGAACAAACAAAACAACCAGTCTGACTCGAAAAACTTGGACCACAGGTCCGGCAACACACCACGCCGAACCAAGTACACACCGTGCACTCAGCCATGGCCCCATGCCTACTCGCCAGCGGCTTTTGACATGTAATCTCAACCTGCCTGTCTAAACCACAACCGGCCTGCAACTCCCCAACGCACCGAAGACAAAGGCCATGACCTCCATCCCCACCACACCGAAAGTGAAGAGCATGACATGCTTCAGCTCTATCAAGACAACATGGGCGGTTCTGTGATTAGGACACTGAAAAATACATATCAGTGTCTGAGGGGTGCTTGGCTTGGCCCCAGCCATCCAGAAGACTGTCATGTCGGTGAAACCAAACCAACAGCGACGATGAACCATGTACGGCGAAGTCCAATATGCCATGAGCAATCACTGCAGGTACGTCAAGAGAGCGCACCCTCTCCTGATATCACATTCCAATGGTGTGGTCTTCATTGGGCAATGCGGCTGACCTGCTGCAAGACAAAACATGCACACTGCAAGTGCGCAAAAGTCAGATTTTGCAACTATGAGTACCGTCGAGCGCGGCGCCAAAACTTGGATTTAAACGCAAAGCAAAGCTGTTGATAGGGAGTCGCTGTTCATTTTCGAGCTCCCACACATGCCTCAAATCCATCGAACGGCACGTTGGGTCTTGTACTTGACGCTGTCAACGACGTTGCTGCGGTACCTGCTTTTTACTTCTTGCATGTGCTCTTCCCATGCACCAGTCCTTCCACGCATTGAGGAATTGGTCACGGACTTGTTGTCGTGGTGGGAAGTACATCTCTCCTGTGGGCCCGCTCACTGCTTAGTCACTACTTCCTTTCCAGAGTGCTGAAGGATCGCAAGAAGTGGTGCTCGGAAGCGGCCACATGGCCCGCGAACACAGGCGCCTCGGGCGCAAACTGCCGAATGACTGAATGACTTCACACTTGCAAGTCGGGGTGCGCTTAGCCGCCCATTGTGCCAGGGCATGTTTATGATTGAACAAGCCCGGCGCTACCCGAGGGTGTCGCGGGAAAACCACGCTGGACTTTGGGACATGGAAAGGAGTCACAGCCTTGATGCTCATGGCGATGTATGCACGCATACATAATCGGAGTTTGTCCTTGTACTTGGCTTGCGCCAGGTAAGGTATCCGAAGAGGCTTGTAGAACTTAGGCATTGTGAACCTCGAAAAGTAGTATCGCTTGACACGGCTTTTAGCACGGAAGGTGCCTAAAATGCCGGCAAGCGGTTTGCTAGACGGTGTAGGGCACACAGGGCGGGGTAGGAAAACTCGCCCTGCGAAGGCGATTGGCGGCCTCAAAGCGTTGCAGAGTATTGCTTCCTAGTTGTGTGAGAAGAACCCAGGTGGCTTCCTTTGTACGCAAGGCAGGAATGCAAAAAATGGCAGAGTCCTTGCGTCTGCGTTTTCGCCAGCCTACATAAGCCGATGTGATTTGCAAATGTAGCATCAGGTGGCTTCAGGATGCCTCGTTTCGGGCAAAACCATCTAGCCATGAAAGGAAAGCTCAGAGGAGGTTGTAGGGTCTGTATAAGGGCCAGCTCCCTGCCCCTGAGCAACTCCGGGGTCACAGGTTCAGATATGGGACCGAGCGCCAGTGCCAGAAAGTGTGCTTCTCGGCCCAGTATCGGAGGGCTAGTTCCGCAGATACAAGCTTCTCTTCCACCACCTGCTTGTATTTCCTAAACCTGGTGTGTTCGCAGGCCGTGGTGCACTTTGCAGTGCTGCCGATATAGTAGAGCTTGGCCTGCTTCGGTTGCGGTGAGAACCGCAGGTACAAAACTGATTCACTGAAAAACTGTGAAAAAGACGGGTACCCTGGCTGGATACCAAGTGCACGAAACACGCCTTTCAGCACATGTGTGTCAGGAAGCACTCTGTGTGCTTCACGAAGCGCGAGGCGCACCACACACCATCGGGCAACGCAAATGGCATGATAATCATGATGCAAAATCTCAGCAGCAGGGCGCTGCGGTTGCTGCAGACGGTAGCGTCGCTGTCGGTAACGCAGCGCCTATAATAGTCACCATACAGGAGCCCACTGCACGAATGCGCACGATGGGGGACGAAGTAGTTTTGTGACGTTGCCTGGCGGCGCTCCCCACATCACTGGCCGGCTTTGCACGCATGTACCTGGCAGGCAAAACGGAAAAGACACGAAAGATATGCAGCACCGACGTGCAACGGCAAAGAAGAGGCACATCTTCGTAGTCCAAGTCCCCGAAGAGGGCCTGCCAGCAGAAACAGGTCAAGACAAAGCTAGTCTAGGTGATGGCTGCAGCAGCGGACAGCTGGCAGGGCCAGGCGTCACCGGGCGGGCCAGTAAAGGAGCCAAGATGCCGGAGCGAAAAAGTATCCAGGACAGCTCAGGCTAGCAGGATTATACACTGCGGGGCGGTATCTTACGGGAAGGGCCGGGCAAGGGAGCGGAAAGCCTAGAGACTGTCCTGGATACAGTAAACGCATTTGTGCCCGGTATGCTCGGCGTGGGAATGGAGCATGATGGGGCAGCGGATACACCGGGGGCCTCGGGCCGGACAATCGTGGGAGCCACGGATGTCGAGATGGGCAAGCGGCTGGGGCGGCCGTTGAGGACTGTATTGATCATCTCTTTGCCCTCGACAACATGAAGTCCAAGTTGCATCAGGACATCTGCCCGGTCCTTGACCAGACGGTCCAAGAGCTCTGCAAGGTTGTCCGGCATGGTGGCTGTGGCTCAATCTTGGCGATGATCTGCCGCAGCAACGTAAGACATCAGTTTTGAATAGCGGGATCTTTTGTGTGACCATCCACGACATGATACTGCAGTCGACGGGACATAGCTTGAACTCCGTTTGACTTTGCTTCAAAGAACTCCAGTTCTGTGTCTCCGGTGCGTCCTGACTAGTCTGCTCCTGTTCATCCTCCTCCATGGACTTTTTGGCCCTCAGTCTTCTTTGCTTTGTTACCAGCACCTTCTTGATTGACTTCTTGTGATCTTCGAGCTTTCGAATGAGTGTCTGATACTTGAGCAAGATCTCCTCGTGTTCTGCGGTTCGTCTCTTGGAGCGGCACCCAGGGCGGAAGATCGTGGGCCTCGAAACAAAAGAGGCATCCGCCTCCACGGCAAAATGGACGGTGTCGGCGCCGGGGCGGTCGGAGAAACCGGAATCTCCGGCATGCCTGGCAAGTTGCTCCCGTGCGGTGGCAGGTAGCGGCCCCTGGGCGGAGGTGGGGGACCTCGAAGTTGTGCCAAGTTACACAGCGCCCAAAACTCCTCCTCGCTGAACTCAATCAACGGACTGAAGTCCACCCGCTCCGGAGCGTCCGGCGGATCAACGGCAGCCGGGCGGAGCTCGAGGATGCCGCCACGGCCGGAGTGAGGGTGTCCGCAGGCGGGAATTTGGGGATATGGCTGCCGGGCGGCAGACTGCGGATGCTTCACCGGGAGGCCCCAAGAAGGCCGCACCCTTTCGGATGCGGAGCGGCAGCATCAGCATGCGGCGCCGGACCGGATAGAGGTCGGACTGGCGTCGGCAGGCGCACTCCCGGCGTCATGAGCGGGCCGGTCACTGCTGCACAAAGGCAGGCGGGCCGGACGCAGTCGGAGTGGCGGCATCCCCACCACCACCCAGCGAGGGCATCATGAGAGAATGCGGAAGCGGCTGCGGGCCAGCAACTATGCACGGACGGACACAGCGGCATCCGGGCCTGGGATTCCTCGACCGGAGGCTGCATAGCCAGGTCGGGCCTGCGCAGGAAGTGCAAGCCAGGAAGCTGAGCTTAAGCGGACCGATGCAGAACGCCTGGCGAGTAAAAGAAAGCAGCAGCTAGAAGCGCAAGGGTGACCCAGGCCGGCCTGACAGGGGACGGACCACGGGACGGCCTTCGAGCAGAAGGCTGAGAACTAGAACCTCGCCGGCGACGGCGGCGGGGCGGAGACGAAGAGTCTGAGCAAGGCATCAAGCTTTCGACAGCCTCGCAGGAGCACTGGTGCACCGCCGGTAACTGAACGGTAGCACTTGAGTCGAACGGCTGCAGCGATTACGACTTGCCGTTGCGAGCTAACGGAGAAACACATTACGACTCGTCGAGAAACAGCATATTCTGTAAAAATCGATCGCTGTGCCCATGGTTGCTTCTATTTTCGGTGTCATAGAACGTAACACAACATATGGGGGCGATCTCTCTTCGATCTTGAAGGAATATTCCTTTGAGCTTAGATCTTATCAACAGACAAAGACAGCTTTGTCTAGTCTACCGGCTTTTGCTGGCAAAAAGTTGTCGACTTCTTTTCTTTTGCACGAGGAGCAGTCCGATTTGCGCTGGGGCGCAGGGTTGGAAGTCAGTTCGATCTGAGCGGATTTCACATGTATAACACGAATACAGAAACTGTTGACATGAAGATGCGAATATCATTTTTACAATTAATTCACTAAGTCCAGAATGCAGCAAGCCACCGAGACAGAAACCTTTTAAAGCCACGGCAATGAAGAGGCCTCGTAGTCACAGAGTCATGAAACCAGGAAGCCGCACATTCGAGAGCCAGGAATCGCAAAACCAACGAGCCAGAAAAACCAAGAAGCCAAGAAGGTGCAAGCCAGAAACCAGCGGTTCTCTGACCCGTCACACAAGTTTTCTGAAATAGCTTCCTGAGAGCGTGCCCGGTTGTTCCATCAGATTCCGGGGCCCCGACAAAGCTGACAAACGGAGTTGGTTTGCTGGTACTTCTCTGGCTGTTGCCGCACCAGCTTCTCATCCTCGCTCACCCGATTCTGACGCACGGCAGATTTGTTTGATTGTGCGGATAACCTCCTTTTTCAGCTTGATGTTGTATGTGGGCTTGCCTCCAGGATAGCCTTGCGCAGGATGCAACATCGAAGATGCACCGTGCATGAACATCTTCCCGGAAGACGCCAAGTGGCACGAGCAGTAGTGGCGAAACGAAGCATCTTTCGGACCGGTCAGAGGAATGTCCTGACAATGCGTCCAGTCTTGTCGACTGTGGAATCCCGTGAACGGCGTCATGGCCTTGTTCTTGTCCATCTGAGCAGTCTCCTCCCATGGCTCGATGTGCCAGCCACGCGCGGCGAAGGCATACTGCATTGCAAAGTCCGAGGAATAGATCTCCTGGTCGGATCGCATAGACAGATGAAGATTGCGTTCGGGCTTGGGGGGAGTCCTTGGTAGCCTGCTCACCAAGCCTTGCGTGCACAAATTTCCAGACGCTGCAGCAAGTCAAACTGTACCAGCGTGAGGCTAATGTGCAGAGGAGGAGCATATTCCAGTCCTTGGAGCTAGGCACGCAATCACACCGAGACAGACTTTCTGTCACTGTTCGCTGCCTTTGTGTTTCAAAGTCTGCAAACAACGAAAGGTATTCTTCTCACAACACTGGAGTTCCACCACGCTTCCAGCTTCATCATGTTCTCATCCGAAAGGGCATCCAGAATGGCCTCCTTCCTGTGATTCGGCGGAATCAGATGAGACGCCTACACGTCGTCACGCTGTCTTGCTTCACAGCATGACATCCCGGAGGATTGTCCTGAAGTAGGCTCCGCCAGCTAGGCCAGCAGACATGGCTTTGCGACTCCACTTGAAGCCTCCCAGACGCTTTGCAGTGAGGGATGGACGAGACATGAACATCTCAGAAAGCCTGGTTTCGTCTTTAAACGATCCGAGTTGCAGGCTCGTGTGGGCGACAACCCACATTTAAGACCAAAACACTTCCTTGCAACAACACGACATCGGGGATCTGGAGGACGGGCTGTGATCCCCAGATCTGTGGCAGTCGGCTCTGTAGAAAATTTGAGACGCAGACGGTTGCGACTTGTTTTGTCATATCTCTCTCACCACAGGACCGGGCTGCTGTTAAACCTTCTCCTCTGCACCCTGCCTCACAGTGTATTAACGTTTCAGAACTCGGCACTGTAACAGTGTCTGGCTGTTCTTAGCTAGCATCCTGGACTTCATCAAAGTCCGGGCTAGGACTGCAGGCGCGAGAAGAGCCCCGTGCTGGCCGTGACGACCTGTAAAACAAAGCTCGCCCGATCGCTTCGAGTCTTCCCCGCTGCCTGGAGCTCGTGCCTGGGCCAGCTTCTCAACCTCAGTCGCTTTTACATACTTTCAACAAAAGCAGCATGTCGACAGCGCTCACTCAATCGTAGCTTGAAGACATAGTCAACCAGTCCGAAGCTGCGATCCTGCACATAGATCCCTCCTGCGAGCTTGCAAAGACAGTACCTTGCATGGAACACGTATGCAACTCCTGCGTCGTGCTTCGGCTCACGCTTGATTGGGCCATGAATGGTGTTGTCCTTCGCCGCATGTGCTGAACTCGCAAGACGGTCCCAACAGATCTCTTGAATTATGCGTCGGCAAAACGCTGCACGCTGTCGCTTCCTGTCCCCGTTCTACTGGGCTGATTCGATACAGCTCGTGATGACCAGTGCGAGTCTGTCTCCATTCTCAACATTAACTGCCGAAGGTCACCCCGGACTCCTCGGAACTTCTCGAACCCGCAACGGCTCTCAGCAGAATTTAGAACTGCAAGCACAACACAGAAACGAAGACAAGTTTCCGGTTCGAGCATAATGACATACTCGGTATTCAAACCTCAGCACAGCTACTTCTGCAACGGTTGATCATCTACATCAAGCCGGTCGCATGCGCATAGACAGGGACTCTGTGACGTTTTCGCTTCTGTAGTTGACTATTGACGAAGCGGCTCTCTGCTGCATCATAAAGCCGTCTGAAGAAAGGCCATGGGTGCCATCCTCAGCTCTTGACGACCACATCGAGGAGAAGCACAAGCACTTCACCACAAGTTCTGAAGCCACGTTCGAACGGGGGCCACGTCGACATGCAGCTGGAATGACTTGAACACACAGTGAGTTGCAGGAGAAGTCACGGTCGTTGGCCGGAGGGCAGAGCTTGAACGTGCACCCCTGCTGCTCGCAGAGAGGAGAGAAATCCATACCACCATCACTCATGACCTTGGTCTGACATCCGTGGCATGACACCTTAGGGCGTGCTTTCTGAAAAGGGCTGCGCTCCAGGCTTTTACACAAGCATTATTTTCGCAACAGGACAACAGGTGCCTTGAGCCGCACGTGCCCGCGCCCACGTGGGCCTCTGGCCTTCGGCCGAAAGGCCTAAAAGTGGCACACGTGCCACCTGGAAAAATCACCTATCTAGGTGGAAATCCTTCGTGCTTCGAAAACCTACACACATCCGACAAACCTAAATGTGAACCTGCAGAGCTGCTGAGTGTACTTGACCGGCTGTGGCCCTCTCGGCTTCATGTGCTAACCACGCGACACCGCCGCTGGCTGCTCTTATTTACTCTTTCTCAGTATGTGCGGAAACTGGTCCGGAACCACCCATTTCTCACCTGCGCTGTAGATGACCTGGACCGACCCCGCAGGCAGCATGTAGCCCATCATCGGCGACTCCTCGAGTGCTGCGCACATCTGCGCACTCTGCATAAATTCGGAAGGCTTCCGTGACAACCGAAGCCTGTCCTCTCCGAGAACCTGGTTCACGACTCCATCAGTGCACCACATTCCCTGGCTATTGCTCCAGATGTGAACCTCGGCCAAAGTTCCGACCGATTGCAAGAACTCGGGAAAACAAGAACCAACTTCTCATATTCGAGCAGTTACAACCAGGAAAGCAAGAGAGGACGGGAGGCCGCCGCTGCTACGCGTCTGCAGGAGCCACCTCTGAAAAATTTCCGTGCCTTGTCACCGCTCACATAGCCAGCAGTGGGCGCGGTGGACGGGGACGGATCCTTAATCGAACTTGTCCGAAGCACGACTACAACGGCCACGGCAGGCAAGACAGCCCTCAAGATCATAAGACTGAAAACTGTCTGCTTCCGCGATTGAGCGACTAGTTCTCGTGTGGTGGATATCGTGGAGACATCGGCCAGAGTCATCTGCAAACACAAGCACGTCTGCTAAGGACTTCTTGGATTGAGGGCATGCACCGGCCACGCTAGCAGCAGAGATCAGCGCTGAATGCCACTTGACTGCTTCCAATTGCCAATCTGGCTCCTGAACAATGGGCTCCCCATTGTGGGAAGGAGACCGATCCGCACCCTAAACCCGAAACCCCGAAGCACCCTGGCCCTTAAACGCTGGAAAATCCCAGCCCCAAATATCTTGAACCCCTAAGAACTGAGCCCCTACAAACGTAAGCCGTATACAAAAAGACTTTACAGTAGCACGTAGTAAACCTAAGCCTTAAGAACAATGCCGTATCCCAAAACTTCAAGCCTTGCAAAGCCAAGCCGAAACCAGAAGCCGCAACCACCCAGCATCCGAAATCGCAAGTGCTTGAATCACAGTGAGTGCTCGGATTGCGCTAGGACGAATTTGGGGCCGAGTTTTGCATGTGCAGCGGCCAGGCGAAAAGGTCCCAGCAGGGCCCGACCTTCCCGAAAGTTTTGCCCGAGCGCCGCTGCGTCTCCTTGCACTGTGAAGTCTGCAAGGAGGCGTTCAGGGCTGTTGCGAAGCGCCCTTGAAGCCAGTTCCAGGTTTCCATAGGTCTCATCTGCGAACACTGAAAATATGAGCTCGTGGCACCCAACACTCCTCCGAGGTCAGTCTTCTCCAAAGGGCAGCAGCCGCGTTCTCTGCAGTTTCTTTCGCCTCTTTGATTCCTGCACAGGGCATGGCAACCACAAATCAAGGCTGGCTGACAGTGGTTCTGCGGCGCGCGAACACACTCAGACACTTTGGCACGGCACTGACGACTGCGACGAGCGACCGACAGGACCAAACGACGACAGATCGCGGAAACCATGCAGAATCACTGGAGGCCAATGATAGAAACAACAGCTTCTTTGGGGTGTTTTGGGCTGGCCTTTGCGCAGCTACACCACTCTCTGATGCACATGAACGTTTGTTGGGCACGGTAGCATCAGAGAGCCGTGCCCCCTTCTCCGGAGAAACGTTCACTCGCAGCGGTCGCCATGTACAGGCGTGCACACACACACGCACACACATTCCGCGACCTGCCGCAGTTTTATTCGTCGGCCTTGGTATCTGAGGCAGTGCTTCCGCAGCTGGGAGCTTACTTGCCGAATCTGCTCCTCCACAGAGGAAACGTGGAGTCTCTCCAGTCTCTTGTGTTGTTCGCAAACGACGCTTGTCCTCGACTTTCCGAAGTTCCACCATGCTGCGATTTGCCTTCTTGCAGCCACCACTGCCACCACTGCTCTGCAGCAAAACAGAGCCCTTGCTTGATCCGGCTTGGCCCGACCTCCTCTCGTGCCCGCGAGTCCGATGCGCCCGAGAAGCGGCGCAGTGCTGCCTGTCGCTGATCAAAATCACATCGCACCCCCCCGCTATGTTCTTGGGCCTCAGCAATCTCGGACACACCACTTTTGCGCGTCCTGACACCAGAGCGCTGGCGGTCTCAAGTCTGGAATCTGCAGGACTGCATCAAGCTGTTGTGAAAAGCAGCGTCCTGTGATGCTCAATTTCCTCCCGCACGACTGCATCCGCAAATTCCCTGAGCTTCTGCGCGCATGCAGCCACCTGAACAGCATGCAGCTGCCTGAAAACAACAGCCCATGCTGCTTCACGGCAGGGCAAATTTTGAAGCAAGCAGCCTGAATTCATCTAAATCGGGAGTGAAAAACACAAGTTCCATCATCAATGTCCGAACAGGTGGCACCCTGTGGTCCACTTCATCCAGAAGATGACCTTGAACTAAAGCCGAGCTCTTGACAGCACGTCTTGGAGGAAGACTTACAAAGCATTCTCATGCATTCTCACAAATGCCCGACAGGCACTACAAGTTGCGAGCATTCTGCTGCATGGGCTACAGTCAAAGTCAGACAATCCCAGAGGTGCAAGCCGTTTGTTCCCAAAGTGCGCGTGTGCCCGAAACAAGTTGCCAGAGAGAATCCGAAAGAGTCCCGGGGCTTAGAAGGCTTCGAAGCAGAGGCTGATCACCAGTCAGATTCACCACAAAGTACATGTTCATGATCATGTTCATGATGTTATACTTTGAGCGGTGTGAGACACTAACTAACGCTGAATCCCGAACTTGACATCCGAGAGCATCCGAGCAGCACAGTGTCTTGCCCAGCAGCACGGCACCTAAATCCTTGGCAAGAAGATACTCGCTCGACAAAGCCACTTCTCCAAAACCTGCATTTCCGTTCACGATGCAGCCGTCGCTAGATCTTCACCAGGGCTCCCCCATCAGTCGTGTGAGCTCCGCAGCCTTCTCAGGTCTGCTCACAGCTTCTCCACTCGAAAGGACATCCGCAAATGCTTGGACCACTCCGCCCGCTACACAGAGTTTCAATGCATTCTGCAGTGTATCGAAGCCTACTGCAGCAATGCGCGGGCACCTGCACTGCGCAAATGTCAAGGAAGTAGAGAGCATCGTCCAACTCTTGGACTGCCTCTGCCCAAATAGGCATCAAGCTCTCGAATCTGAATCCTCGGAGGATCACAATGAGCTGCAGCAGCTCGTGCCAACAACGGCTAGATGCTGCATACACCGGCCCGTCCTCTCTTGCCATGTCCGGTGCTCAAGCCTTCAAGCGAGATCCGAGAAAGCCTCCCTTCAGAATTCCACTCGTTTTCGATGCATTTTTCTGGCGGCGTTGGGCCATGTTGGGCCTCGGAAGCGCTCGCAAGCAGCGCCGAGAGCCCCCGGGCCCGGGCGGCGAAGGCGGACCACGAGCCTCGCACGACGACACAGACACCCTTGGCAGCCTGCGCATCGGGGGGGAGGCACCGCGACTTGAACCTGCCTGGAGCTACTCATGTCCCGCGCAGGCATGCAGGTAGACAGCAGGTCCAGCTCCACCTCCGCACGATTGAAATGCTGGCACCTCACTTTCTGAATCCATCTCGCTGCAAGACGTTGCAACGCCGCCAGCAATCGATATGGCCTCCTCTTCTGGAGTCGTCGCAGCCAGGAAGGACTCCACTGGCAGAGGTTCTGATCGTGCAAACCTGAATGCAATCACAGCCTGCAAGTTTCGAAAGTCACGCGATGGTTGCAACATCTGTGCACAAACCTGCGTTCTGACAAAGGGCATTGAATTGACCATGGAGCCGCCGTTGTAATCACCGACTTCCATCCTGAGATGCAGCGGTTTCTGGCTGCCATGTTCAGTGATGTAGCCTGGTGATGCTCGATCGCCCTGATGTGAGTTGTTCGGATTCTTGACATGCACGAGTTCAACAAAAAGTGGGGGACATTATTTGTGACCCCAAATGTTATTTTCCCGACACCGGAATATTTTTTTGACCCCCCATATTACTTTTCTGATCCCCTATGTTGCTTTCGGAGCCCCCTGAAGTTACTTTCCCGACCCCTATACCACATATTGGTAGAGCCCTACTGGCACTACTACTATACGACGACGACTACGACTACTACTGCTACGACTACGACTTCGGCTACGACTACGACAACTGGATCGCGCAGAAACAGGAGACTGTGGATGGGAAACAAGATGCGACAAAGGTATTGAAAACAAGCCCAAGTAGCGAAAAATCGCCATAAACGTGCTCTGGAAGCAGAAACCCGACAACCCAAAAAAACACATGCGCCCCTCAAACACTAAGTTGATGTCTAAATCTCCCAGAACGCTATAGGACCTGCGAAACTCGATTTTGGACTTTCTGTTTTGTCCCAAGGCGTTGCATGGTTTTTCATTCCAGCTACGTGCCGTGCTAACGTAATTACACGGCCGCCTGGGGGTCCTGCCCCTGCGCGCTTAAAGGCGAAATCCGGTGGCGAAAAATCGCCATAAACGAACATTGAAAAACTCCACCACGTTTGTCGTAGCTATGCAAAACCTAGGTTTTCGCTCTGGAAGCAGAAACCCGGAAACCCACAAAAAACACATGTGCCCTCAAACACGAAGTTGATGTAACCTGCCAAAAGGCCAGAGGACCTGCGAAACTCGATTTTGGACTTTTTGTTTTTTTCCAAGGCGTTGTATGGTTCTTCATTCCAGCTGCGTGCTGTCCGCAAGTAGTTACACGGCCGCCTCGGGGTCCTACCCCTGCCCGCTGTAAGCTGGTTTTCCAAATTGTCTCCATCTTGCCATGTCTTTGCAAAACCTATAGGTTCTCACTGCAGACGCAAAATTTAGGTTTTCACTGCAAACGCAAAATTCAAAAATTCCGCACCGACACCATGCACCCCCGTGCAAGTGCAAGCTTTACCCCAGAGGAGCACTTTCAGAACCCATCATACAAGCACCTTCTTAAGCCGTGCAAGCTTTCTGTATGTACTATGTTACCAGCGAGGAACAGAACACATATGAGCGCTTTGAAATGCAACGCTTTGGGAAAAATCCAAATCTTAATAATCGGGCTTCGCAGGCCCCATAAGGGTTTTCGCTGATTTTGGAAATCAAATCCGTGTTTGAGCTTCAAAAAGCGGGGGGTTTGGGGGGGGGCTTTGTCACCCACTCGAGATGCACAGCAAAACCAGCCATACCCCGCGCGCTAGATTCCGCAAGCACAAACTGGAGAGGCACATCAGTGGCAGCTGAACACGATAAAACCAGCCGTTCCCCCTCTCGACGCTCGATTCCAGAGGCACCCACTCGAGGCGCACATCAGTGACAACAGAACACATTAATACGAGGGAGGAAGGCAAGGGAGGAGGGAGGACGGATTTGATGTCCAAATCTGCGAATACACTATACAGGGCCCGCCAACCCCGATTTTGGAGACGTCGTCGTAGTAGTCGTCTTCGTAATCGTCCTAGTAGTAGTCGTCGTCGTCATCGTCGTCGCAGTAGAAGTAGTCGTCGTCGTCGTAGTAGTAGCAGCAGCAGCACTCGTGGTAATAGTACTAGTAGTCGGATGATGAAGATGACCGGGATGCTGAGGATGATAGGGATGATGGAGATGACGCGAGTGATACGATGAGAGGACGACCAAGATGATGGGGAAGATACAGATGAGGGGGATGCTGGGCGGTATAAAAATGATAGGATTACAGGATGACGGACGTGATAGCAATGATGAAGACGATGGGGATGATAGCGATGACGGAGATGATGGCATGATAGAGGTGAAACTGATGCTTGCTGGGAAATGATAGAGATCATGGGGATGACGCGGCTGATAAACACGACGAGGCGATAAGGAGGCTAGAAGCGATAGACATGATGCGGATGTTAAACATGGCGGCGACGGCACCGATGATGGGGATGATAGCGATGATGCAGGGATGACAGGGATGATGCATATGATAGGGATGATGGCGATGATGAGGATGATAGAAATGACGGCGATGGTGGGGATGACGAGGATCATAGAAATGACGTCAGGTGCAGGGGGTCAGGAAAGCATGGTGGGGGGTTGCAAAAACACGAGTTGGGTCCAAAACACAGGGAGAAGGCTAGGGGGTCAAGAAAACAGGTTCTGCGGCACACGCGCAAAGGGAAAAATAAACCGTGGAGGGGGGGGTCAAGAAAGCAGGTTCCTGTGGGTGTAGGGGGGGCATGAGGGGTGGGGTCAATACAACAGGCTCAGTGGGATCACAAAAAGCGGAGGGGGTCAACAAACAAGGTGAGGGGTTTGAAAAACGAGGGGCCCGAGAAAGAATGGCCAAGAAAAGAAAGGGCAGGGAAAGAAAAAGAAGACAAAAAAGGCAAGACTGGAGGGGCAGTCTGCCAAAAGCCGCCAAGCCGGGAGCTTGCGAGGGGCAGAGCATCGAGAAAGGGCAAGAAGCCCGCTGAAAAACGGGGACTCGCGAAAAGCTTGTGTAGGGCAACGCCCGATACGCGGGAAAAGCGACAAGCAAAGAGACCGTGACGAAGTGGCGCCCGCGTAACACAGGAGTCTCGCCAAGGACAGGAAACCCGCAAAGGGCAAGCTGCCCGCAGGCAAAGGCCGAAGAGGAGATCGAAAAGGCAGAGCCCGCATGAGCCCGCAAAGGAAGGCCCAGGGAGCCCGCGTGGAGCCCGCAAGCGAAGAGCAAGGAGCCCGCAGAGGTTAGCCCAAGGGCAGGGAGCCGCGAAGGGTAGGGCAGATACCCACGAATGACTCGCGACGAGTCGGGGAACAGCCCGCAAAAGACACGAGCCGCAGAGGACAGGGAGCCCGCAAAGGGTAAGGAGCCCGCGAAAGGGCGAAGGGCAGGGAGCCGGCGAAAGGATGCGGAGTTCGCGAAGGCGAAGGGCATGTAGGGCGCCTGCAAAGGAGCACCCGAAGGGCAGGGAGCTCGCGAACAACGGGCCAAGAGCGGGGAGCCCGCAAGGGCAGGACCCCGATAGGAGCTCGCGTCGGAGTCCGTGAAGGTCGGAAACGCGTTTAGGGTAAAGAGCCCGCGAAGGGGAGCTTGGGAGAGCTGGAAGCAGGAAGGTTACGAAGAGCAGGAACACTCCCCCCCGTCCTGTCTACACCCCGTGACAGTACTTTTCCGGCGTTTAATGGGGTCATGTCGGGGGTCGGAAAACGTGCCGAGGGGGCAAGAAGACAATACAGTATCGCGGGCTGAAAAAATCACGGTGTTGGCCAGGCTCACGCCGGGGGGGGGCAAAAAAAGTAATCTCAGGCGTGATGGGGGTCGAAAAAATAACCATGGGGGCCGGCGGTTGGACCCGCAGACTGATGACAAGGACAGGTGACCAGTGCCGTGGAACTCAGCGTCATGCAGTTCAGGCAAGGAGCTTCAGCCTTAAGGGCTCAGTCGTCCCGGTGTCCCGGGGGAAGTCAAAAAGGATTGCCTGGTTCCACTCGGGATTATTCTGGTCCTTCACGAAGGCACATTCGGTCATTGTCAAGGCACCAAACAGCTGATCAGCACTGGCTGTCTCGCTGGGAAGGAGCATCGACTGTCCTTCAACCAGAAAGTCTTTGCCGAGCTCACCTCAGCACAAAAGCTCCCAGTCGTGATGCCAAAGTGTTCGGCTCGGATCTACTGGGACAGCCCATCACAGGCCCCCGATTTTCAGCACTAGGTACCGATCAACATGTCACACGGATCCATGCACCCTGCTTGGCCAAGGTGCCTCAGTTGTACCATGATAAAGGGAAACACGAACAAAAGGATCGACTATGTCGATACCTGCCAGCTGATCCCCATGCTCGTGCCCTCGTCTCACTCATATCGTTTGCGTCTGGGCATGTTTGAGTTCAAAACTGGCGGCGTAATCGTGCGACTGCATACAGCCAACGCTCGTTTGACCTCTTGTTCCCCTCCCACTTTCCCTCTCGAACGGCACCATCATCATCTCATCCGTCATGCCGTGTCCACCACCGCCCCGCTTACTTTCCACAACCTGCAATATCACCTTCACCATCATCACCACCACCACCACCATCACCACCACCACCACCAGCCACATCTCACGACCATTTCACACAGCCAGTGCGAACAACAGCAATCATGGCACTGGCGATTCGCTGGCTCATGGGGTATCGTAGTTGGTTGTACAAGACAGGGTCGCGAGGCACAGCTCTTCCAGACGCACGGGGACTCACTCAACCAAGAACAGCAGCACTAAAAGCAATACCTGAAAACAAGTCACCATGGCAAACAGTCAGCAACAGCATTAGTCAATGAAGCCTGCCCCAACAAAAGAGAAACAACGATGACAAATGAAAGCTTGGCTGGACTGGCAGACACGCACATCGTCCCCAGGACTCTGTGCCTGGTGCATTCGGCAATGAGGAGGCTCTGAGAACCTGCAGGGTTCTGAAACCTAGCCTGTACTAAGTTCATATTAACCGCATCAACAATCCTCGCAATCTCAGTAAAACATGTGTCACGAAACGCTGAGATTTGGCCTCAACGGTCAGCGAGGAGCTGTCCAAAATCCGATCCTCAGGAAATGAAGACACATCTTTTTGTTCGGCCTAACGATGTTTCCGCCTCAGAGCAAGGTTTACAGAGGGGACAATACAAACCAGATCCCTTCAGACCCATCGGTGGCCTCTACTGGCTCCAAAAGCGTCATGATGCTCGCAACATGTGCCTCCCACGCAGCAGGGCTTGATTATCCCACCACACAGAAGCTTGAGCCTCCGCTCACATCTCATTCTGCATGGTTGCCAGAAAACATCTGGACTGACCCGTTTGGAGCCTGGGCCAGGAGCTGTCTCAGTAGGCCGCCAGCCTCTGTCATCCAAGCCTCACCGACTTCTGGAGAGTCAGAGCTTTCGCAGCATCCCTCTTGCAAACATTACCTTGCTTGCTGCCTCCTGCATTTCCTTGGCAACGTCCTGGACCACGACAGGCTTCAAGTCGCAAGATGCGCACCCCATCTGGTAAAATCCAACCAACAGATGAGTCCTTGTCAGCCTTGTGCTTCAGAAGCGCCACTGGCTTTGAGTAGCGGTTGAGATCGCCCAATGAGTTCAAGGAATAAATTGCCTCTGGAATGCTGAAATTTGTCCCGGATAGCCTCGGAGAGGACAAGCAGGAAATTTGAAAGAAGCGGTTCACTGAAGGCTTAGGGCATACCTAAGTCCCTCGCATGGAAGACACAAACTTTCAGTGCACGAAAATGCAATCAACGCTTCCTTTCGAACACTACATTTCATAGACGGCCCTGCTCCGACTGAAGACAGGCCGCAGGAGCACCTTCGTGGTTTGTAGCGCCAGGTTGTACGACAAACGGCCAAGATCCTCCTGAGCTGGATGCTGGGCGGTCGGTCAAGTCGCACAAAACCGTGCTCCCAAGGACTCCTGCACATGTTGACATTGCTGCTTCCGAAGTCGTCAATCGTCCGCTCCATGGACATGCACTGTCTTGCGTGAACACTGATAACACTTGCTGACACTGAGGATCCCTTAGAAAAGCTCAATTTTGTAACTCTGCACGAAGACGGTAGCCACAGCTCAAACTAGATGTGGACATGGCTCGAATAGTCGTCGAGCATCCTTCGCATCGCGCAAACGGACTCTCAACAGCCTCGATAGCCAGCGGGACTGTTTCCAACCCCACGGGTTTGCACCCACGGCTGGTGCTACCATGCAGTTGGCCATGCCGTTCCTGACGGGCAAAACGACAGTCGAGTTCTATGGTGCGTGCTTATCGAGCTCGTGCGCCACTTCAGCCAGCATTTTGACAAACCTGAGCTGCGCCCCTAGAAAACTACGGGAGAGATGAAGAATGAGTGAGCGAATGAGCACCCAGTACGCACCCAGGTCAACGTTTTTCACTGACGAGTGTGACAGCAAGGAAGTGAGCGAGGCCAAGTCGTAGCGAACCCTTTCTTCGCTCTGAGTCTCTTGCGTGCCCTGGGGAATCCAGCTCCTTCCCCTGTGCATCCAAGCAACACAGCGGGAAGCAGTGGCTATGCGTCACATTGACCATGCTCCGGAAACTCGTATACTGACTGGGTCACTGGATCAGCATGGATCAGCTCAAACGGAGCAACGCGTGCCTACGAATGCTCAAGCTGAACTTCATCACTCTCAGTGAAAATAGCATGTGACATGCTCGAAGAGTGTAGCATCCCTGTGTAGCTCCACGATGCTTTGGAGAGTCGTGCTCTAAACCGCGTGGCCCTGCAAGGCATCAGGCAGCCAATGACGCACCTGCTTTAAGCATCCCTCCCCGAATCTCAGCGGAGCTTTCCAGCTGGAAGTACTTGTCGCTTGGCGCTCCCATTGCAAGACATCTGCACAACAGTGATGAGATCGGCTTGTTGTACTAGAGGTCAAGTCTAAGCTCAACAAGCCCGGAAGTCGCCCTTTACAGGTGCTCCCACAATGAAACCTGACCGACTTTACAATGCTGCGGGCAAGACCCCGCCCCACCCCGGCAGTGCCCACCTCCACTTGTCTTTCTGCACCATCAGCTTGGAGCAGAAGTTTCGGTATGCCTCGACTTCCTGCACGAAAAAAGCTAGTAAAACACAAGACTCTCGTCAATCTGCTGAGGGTTGCCCGGCCATCTTTGAGCTGTGCTTCTCTTTCCCCACCTGTGGGGCCGGAGCGGTATCAGCCGCATGCTCGCGTAGCCAAGTCTTCAGCAGCTCGCAGACCAATGTCTTTGGGTCTGCCTTGGCCTCGCGTGTCTGGATTGAGAGTCGAGCAGAAGGTCTGACAAACCTTGATGCTTCCCGCTGCCGCACCTTCCGCGCAGTTTGGTACTTCAGGATCGTTTCAAAAGCCGTCCTCACCTTCAGAAGCCCACAGCATCCATTCGCTGTCGTTGTGCAACCAATGAACAGGAAACACTGGTGGTAACTGTTCTTCTCGCAAGCCTTGCGCCGCAGAATGCAATTCTGTCCCAAACATACCTCAATTGACAAAATGTTCTCGCGGGGATCATGCCCCGAATACAATCTGGATCTCTAGGTTCGAAATCCTAAGCAAACGTCCTCCCAATTGAAAAAATAATCGAAACCGGCAAACGGCCTGCCTGTGGGTAGGCAGCGCTGGTAAGCAAAGGCTGCTTGGTCGGCCAAACCTCACCCTCGGCCTGCCATGGTGTGCTGGGCCACACTGCCAGTTTCCGTTTGCTCCGCATCCAATTGGTGCTATCACCGCTATCGCCATCGCATCCGCATGCATCCACACACAGAGGCACTGGAAGGGCACCGAGCAAGGCAGCTTGTGCTGTTAGCAGGGAGACTGGTTTTGCCGGTGTACGACAGGTGGGCGGCTCCACAAGCCAGTTCCTTCTAATCGAAATGCGTGAAACCTGTGGATGTCTGTTGGGAAGTGTCCGAGCATTCATTTTTCTGCGTGCAAGCACAGATGAGACTTCCCACGTTCGCATGAGGCCATCTGTGTGGTCGAACCTGGCACCGGAGAACAAACGGAAAAACAGTCGCCTTGTCGAGTGTGGAGAAACTAGACTGGTGTGCGCTGCAGATGTCCCACTACGACTTCCGCAAAAAACCAGCTCATTAACATGGTCGTGTAGTGATTCTCGGTCTGCATGGACCGCGGTCCTGAAAGGAGCTAGGAAGCTGCATCTTCTCCAGGCCCAAGCTTTGCTGCAGAGCCTGTCGCTTCGAGAACATCTCAGAGGTTGCTGAAATGCTGCACACTGTGCCGCACATGTACCAAACTTCATGCCAGCATCGCTGCCTCCTGCACAACTTGAAACCTGAAGCTGCGTCCGCTACCAGTAGCAACACGCGCTGACGACACGATTCCGCTCTTCTCTTTAGCAAGAAAGTCCTGCATCGGAATTCGGGCCGAGGCGCTGCAGACAGTGGGTTGCATCCTTGTAGCTATTAACCTGATACTGCTTGCAGCTTCGACACAAGCCCGAGTCTTTGGCGATTGACTACACTTTCAGCACAACATAGTCGCTCGTGCTGCTTGCACAATACAAAGCCAAGGCCGCCGCAAGGCCCTTCAGATAAAAGCCGCTGGCGACAGCACCGGCGCCTAATGCCGCACCGCCGGCAGCGGCGAGCACCTGTGCACAGAAACCCGGAAGGAAACACTGCGGGGGCACCTGCTCACTGAAATAACAAGGGATGCAGCTGGAGTTCATCATGTAGCTACCTTGGTGCCGATGACGGTAGCAGAAAACAGATACTGTAAGAGGAGCATAGAAGTTATCGAAACTGTGGTGATGAGTGTTTCGCTCTTGTAGCGGTAATCATCTGAAGAGATTGAGGCATTGGGCTAGAACATGCTAGAACGGTGCCCAGAGCCCCCAACACCCTGCGGTTAAGGAAAGACCCTCACGTCTAGCAATGTGCTGAGTCGCAGCTTCTACCATTCTAGAGCCGCTTCAGATTCCCGAAACAAGGATCCCTTGTGATCCCGTTTGAGGCCCCTTGTGCTGCGGTTTATGCACCACCCACAAGACCTTCTGCGCTCTTTCCCGTCGCCTCGGTTCCCCCACCACCGCCACCGCCCAAACAGCGAAGAAGCTCCATTGCAAGCGGCGTCGGCGTAGCGGCCGTCAGCTCAGCTCATAGTTTTTACGTGAAGGTCAAGGCTGATGCCGGTAGGGCCATTAGGTCCTCAAAGGCGTCACTTCAGTTGCTACGCTGTCGTCACGCTGTCTTCAGGTGCGCCGTCGAGGTGTCAGCATGCTATGGAACGGCTCTTGTCTAGTGGAACTGGCTAAAGCCTTCCAGAAGATAGGCAGGCCGGACAGACATGACAAGACATTACTCTCTCAACCAACAGCAGATGAAGTTCGAACCAAGCTGTCCCGGCAGGGCGTTCAAGGAGCTGGCATAAATCGGTGAAGCGGGGAAGTGCTTCCGAAGCTGACGAACCTCAGAAACAACAACTTGCTTCAGCGAGGACACAGGACACAAAAAGCACTGTAAGCAGACCGTGGTTGCCTGGAAGATGACCGCAGCAGGATCAGCATAGACGTGCAAGTAGAAGCCGTACTTCCTGGTGATCGACAGGCTGTTGCAGCAGCAACTGGACCGTGCAGCTTCAGGACCTAACAAGGCAAGTTTCGAATCGTGCACGGAGTTTGGTAGAGCCTGCTGAGGCCTCGCAAAGCATGCACAGAAACAAATGCCAATGCAAGCGACGAAGAGGGAGAGGAGCACAAGAGAGTAGAATCATGCAGGGATCGTCTCCGTTTCCCTGGCCCCGCTGAGCAAAGCTGGGATCACCCACTTGCAGAGGAACGGCAATTCGCAAGGCTTGCTCTTCAGCTCTGGATGGTACCTGGCGGAAAGCACTGGCAAACAACTTCCACCTCGAGATAGACGACACGAGCCCGGAGCACGTGTCCATCAGCTTCTGCGAATATGAGAATGGCAGTCGGTTGGTACACTTCGGACTTCCCCAATTCTCCACATATCTGTCCTTGGCCGGATCTAACACGACCTGGCCTGCCCTGCAGCCTCATGAAACTTAGATCTGTCCTTGATTCGAGCAGCACTCTAGTAGCGAGAATCCACTGCTGTCAAGAGGCTAAGTTGTAGCAAAGCTGGCAGTTGGAATTCGGCACCGTGTACTCCGCGGGTGCTGGAGCAAACAAATCTTCGTCCTCGGATCTGGTCTGAAACCTGAAATGCCGACCAAGGGTCGGGACCCTGCAAATAGACCGATGCCGACTAGGAGATGGAATCTCACCGAGATGCTTCTGGCTGAAGCTTCAGATTGTAGGTGGGCTTGCCACCAGGGTAACACGAGCCTGGGCACAGCATTGTAGCTCTCAGCACTGCTCTCAATGCATCTGTCACTGGCCAGTGGCAGTAGTGTCGAAAGGCAGCATCTCGAGATCCAGCCAGCGGCACCTCCTGCTCTCCAAACTTACAGGGTCCCTGCCTGTGCGAAAACAGCCTGCTGTCCCACCTGGCTACCTACGCTGATTGGGTAGAGACTGGCACGCAGCGCCGCATAAGCACAGCGCATGAGCTGCTCACTTGCTGCCAGCTGCTCTAGATGTCACCTTGTCTTTGTCCATTTGCGCAACCTCCTCCCAGATGCCAACTCGCCATCCTCGAGCCGCTAGTGCATACTGCCTCGACTCGAAGCGAAAGTTCGCCTTTTTGCAAGCTTGCCATCTGAGCATGCTGCATGGCAAAATCCGACGAGAATATCTCTTTGTCGACACTCTCTCCAAGCAGGTTCCAATCAATCCTCGGCAAAAACGGGCAGCCCATATATTCATCACAAGCGGCAAAGCCTAAGTCGGGTGGGAACTTCAGCCTCCAAACTTCTTTCACAGCAGATATGCTAGTTTCATGCATCATCGCCCATCTGCAGTAAATTAGTAAAAGAAACTTCGTGTGGACTGCCAACCCCGATCTGCGACTCCCTGAAACTACAAGGTTACAAGATGCGGAGCGTGCTCTCTTCCCATGACAGACGAACTGACAAGGAAAGAAAGAGTGCGGCTTGGGACAGAACAAAGTGTGTGCCGGCCAGTGGCCGCATCATGTTTTCGTCAGAGAAAGCGTCCTCAAGCAACGACACGGCAATGCACTGGCAAGCACAGCATGACACACCCAAGTTAAGAGTACATGCATGTACATCTGCAGATCCCATCGGGGGAAAGCAGGTTGTAGATCACTACATCCTTCGAAGGTGAAGGTCAGTCCGACAGAGAGCCGGTCTTGGATATAAGCCGAGAGTCTAGAACGGCTTCGGTACGGAAATAGGCTCCGCCACAAAGCCCAGCTTGCATGCTCTCGGCGCTCCACTGAAAGCCCGGAGCCTGAGAGTGTCCATCTCTCGTCAGATATTGAAAGGATCTACGGCTTTGCAAAGACATGAAATCGCGAAACTCTCCGTGTACATTCGGACCATTGTTCAGCAGCGGTCCACCCATCGGCAACCCCTGAACCATCGTGAACCTGCGATCTGAACGGCCCCAAGGAAAATGCCAACCGAAAAGATCAAAGCCACAGACCGCTCCAAAGCCAAAACAGACTCGCAGACAGTGTTCAGCTGCTGCCCTTTTTTTGTGTCAGGTAGCCACCGATTTGCACTTTGGAGAGCTTTAAACTTTAATCAACAGGCGAAGCGAAATACTAGTTTTAACAACAGGGCTGCAACGTTAGCACGTTATCCTTGCAGAACCGTGGCTCGATCCTGTGCCAGTTTCTCCACGTGCTCTGCGAGCCTGAAGGAACGCTTCCTGGGAGGCATGTTAAGATCAAACACGAATGCTACCAGTCGTGATGCTCCGCATCGTGCTGTCACCTTCAAACCGCAGCATGCACGACAGACAGGATAGAATGGGTGCAGTCCTTATGACAAGCAATGAAAGGTAAGTGCTAAAGGCTTGCAGGTTCAAGCTTGAGGCTCATGGATCTTTGGCTCCCTCCAGTGTTAGTCAAAGCTCGGGACATGCACACCACCTGCATCGTCTTGTGGAATCCGCTTGACTGGGCCATGCAGTGTGTTGTCCGGCTCCTGCTACGCAAGGCGAATTGAAACTCTGGGGTGAGGCGCTGCACGCGCCAGCTCATGCTAGAGATGTCTGCAAGGGGCTCGGTCCAGCATGATGATGAATTCAGTGTTGAGGCTCAAGGCAGCATCATAAAGACCTACGGAACTGCAGATCATAGTGACTTCTCAAGAGCTCTCGTGCTCGCTGCTTCTACATTTTCTTGCTGCATGCAACAACACAGAAAGTCGGCCAACAGTGCACAAGAGCTACCGGACGACTCAGACTCCCGCGTCTGAAAAATGGCCACGGATGCCAACCTACAGTAAGGACGGTGAGGGAACGCTTGCTGGTTTTGTAGTATTGATATACGTGTTCATATTGTGAAGAGCATCAACAGCAACAACAGTAGTTACAACAGAAGAAGCAGCAGCAGCAGCAGCAACAGCAACAGCAACAGCAACAGCAACAGCAGCAGAAACAACAACAACAACAACAACATCATCAACAACTACTACAACTGCAGTCGTAATAATAACAATAACAAGAATAATAATAAGAATAACAATAATAATAATACTAATAGTAATACTACTAATAATAATATTAGCATCATAATCGGAATCATAACAAGCGGAAAATAATATCAAAAATAATAGAAGAAAATCATCATCATAATGATTACAATAAAAACTGTGAATGTAGCCAGAACAATGGTGATCATAATAACATGAATAATAACTACAACAACTATATTGACTCCATAAATGATAAACATAGTTGCAATAATAAGGATGATAGCTGTAATAACTGAATACTACTGTTGATGTTATAAACCCTGCATTACCCCTAACCTCTGGGAATTATGGTATATTCCTTATTATGGGTAATGCAGGATTTATACCATCAACTGTAGTACTAATCGTAATGACAAATATCACTAGTAATAACTACAACAAACATCAGCAGCAACAACAACAAAATGCTCCTAATAATCATAACAATCAAAGTACTAAAACAATCCTACTACCTGTAATGATCTCACCAGTACTCGTCCCGTTTACTGTCTCAAAGGGTGCTCATCGGAGCCCAAGCACCCACGGTGAACGCCAAGGTTCACGCCATGGTGCAACAACATTAGCCAAGCTGCACAGGCTTGTGCTTCACACAGCAAGCGCTTTCTAAAGCAAGAGAGAGAATCTGTAGGTTGCTGTAATCTGCTATGTCTGACATGACTGAGTCGAGCACGGTCATTGGCTGGCGGGCAAAGCCTGGAAGCTACGGATCGACAGAACCACTCCATGAGTATCGGCATGTGACTGTTGACGCCTTTGTGAATCGACACGGGACAACTCGGTCCAAGCGGCGTGAAAATGCACTTCTCTCGCTTGCACATGTTGCTGAAGTCCAACCCTCCGTCACTCATGACCTTGGAGCAGAGTATGCATGCTGGGGTCTTTGATTGTGGCCCATCCTATGGACGACTGTTGAGTCGGACAACCTTTCGAAGACTCTCAGGTGGGCCGCAGCATCGGCTTCGGCGCTCTCACAGCAGGTGTTCACTTCCCGTCTGCAGGCCCCACGCTGACAGCTCCATTGCTTGGGGAGCTTAGGAAGCCACGTAAATCGGAGAGTCCGGAAAGTGCTGTTTGACCTGAAGACGCAGGAAGAGGTGTGCAGGCGGACAGGATGCAGCGACATCGAAAGATTGAATTTGTGGTCCAAGATACCTGCCGCACTTGGTGAATTACAGCAGCTGGATCGGCAAAGACATGGAGGTAGAAACCGAATTTGGAGGATGGCCTGCACAGCCGCCGCGCCGCTGCACATGTCTTCTCTCGCGGTTCAAACCAATGTGCATGTCGAGGCACGCGGGTGTTTCTGCCTCTCTCACCAGGTTCGGCGGGAGTGCGGCAGACCTGCCATCCTGCATCCGAGGAAGCATCAAACTCACCGCACAAAAGCTGAGCTTCGCCGACACCCTTCATCTCCACACCCGGCACAAGCTGCCGGTCGAAGTTTCCACATCCATTGTCACTACACCATACAACTTAAACTAACCATTTCCTTCATGAGGTCCGTCAAATATATTTCGAAGCAAGACCCGGCGGGTCCTCCATGGACTGCTGAGCTTCGGCTGGCTGCTGCAATTGCTGGATTTCTGCTGGCTGAGCAGCAGCTGGTGGAATGTCAGCCATCGGTGCTGTCGTCCACACATTGTAACTGCAGGGGTTGGATTTTATTCCGGACTCATAACATGCAGCACCTTCGCTCCGATCCCGAGAGCACATTTCTGCCATTCCCTGCCTTTCTGCTCGGCGCATGGAGTTGTCGAGTGCCACACTGGCAGCTGTGACGGCGCCCGAGACGGAGGCGACAGTTCTGGGCGCCAACACAACACACGCACACAGCCGGCAGCTGTAGTCCCCTGTCGAGAATGTTTCTTCAGGGCATTCCTGCAACGAGACGGCAAAAGAAGAAGATTTGAGAGCGCTAGCAAAACCAAACCAAGGCCAAGAAGCTCGCTTGAAGACGTGAGGGCCCGCAGATCTCCGAAGATCGCCAGAAAAAACCTTGAGCTTCCAGAGCTGGCAAAGGGAGGGAAAAAGCAACAACCTGTGGCAAAAGGAGATGGCACTTGATGGCACATCGAGGAGCATTCCTCCAAGCGCCACCATAAACTTCGCCTCCGAGCATCTTGCCGGGCAGCCAGTCAGCATACATCAACGGTGCTGACATGCACCACCAGAAAACAACAAATAGTGCGTGTAATCAAGGAACAACTCCCCATGGTTGCGAGGATCGCTTTGCCATCGCAATGGTCACTGGCCATAGTCTCACAAGTTGCGCAACTGGCAAACAAGGCTCCTTGCGAAGTGTGATTCCGCGAGTGACGAGCTACGTTGCACGTATCAGTGCGTTGGCCAATTGCTCGGGGCCCTGGCAGAAAGCTCTATCTGCGTGCACTGTCTAAGGACTCGTTCGTTTTGTTCGGCTTGAACCGAAAGCTTGGAAGTGGATTTGGCTTGCAACAGCATGGCTGACAAATGGTTGTGGAATGCGCTCACAACGGTTTCGGCGCAGAGATCTTGCACGTTCGCTTTCACAAAGCGTTGGCACATCTGCACAAAATGCCTGGCCACACCAAAGACTGGACATGCTGGTAAGTGTGAACGGGGCAGCATAGAATAGTGTAGACCCCAGTCCTACCCTCAATTCCGGCTGCAATAAGACTGAAACCTCCATGGCCCAATGCAGCAGTGCTTACGGTGTTAGATATTAAGCCTGTGCCGCAAATGTTGCCACTCAGACAAGATATCATAGGAATGAACGGACCGGATTGCACCAGCACAACTTGAGCTCAGCAGGCCTCACTGCAGGCTTCACTTCTTCGCCTGCTCCAAGTTGTTCAAGGCATGGACTGCAGCCTGCACCAAGCGCTCGAACAGTGCATAAAGCTCCCGGAGAGTGCGTCTGACTTCTTTCATCGGCTCGGTACATCCCAGTTTGCCCGTGTGAAGGTCCTCGGGGCGGGCCATGGTCAACTCCGAGAGCTTCTGCCTAGGCTTCCAGAGAGCGCGGCTTCAAAAGTTAATTTTCATAAGCATGGTGGCGGGCACATTCAAGCTGGAATTTACACCTCACTGTTTCGAGAGAGCGAGTTGCAAAATGCAAGGGCGCAAAAGTGCCGCATTTTGCAATGCAAGCGGCTGGGCAGCCGTGTCGGGCCCAAACCGTCGCGAGAACGGACTTTCTGCAAATTGTGGACTGCGAACCGACCGTGCCATCAGTAACCCACACGGTTTCGGGCAGAGCTGCGAAGACATAGCAATGAACAGTTTAACAGCTTCATGTTAAAGGCGAAGCTGTAGATCGTGAATGTGAGACATTGCGTCTTCATGTTTGAAACTGTGGCTTGTGGGTTAGCAGCGGTTAGCATTTTTTGACAAGGTCTAACAAGCTGATGTGGCGTCTGCAGGTGTACTTCGGTGCAGAAACCCTAGATTCCCGTCACCAGGAATATATCAATCAAGTATCCAGGAATATATCACTCAAGTATCAAAATTTATTTATTTCGACGTGAAAACGTAAGCGGTAGACAGCTCGCAGTTCTACGTCGGACCTAGACGTGTCCTCCGAATCACCCTCCGATCAGGGTACCAGTCACCCTGGGTAAGGAGAGTGAGCACCAACCCACTCGACGATTGTCACGCTCGCTAGGCGGAACGCGGAAGTAGGGCATCTAGTGGCGTGCTACCATGAAAGCCGACAGAAAAGCAAGCTCTTCTTACTTTCACACAAGCTTGTGTCCAACTCGAACCATCATTTTGATCAACTTCGGAGGCTCGTCAGCTACTTTCAGACCGGAACCTATACATGCCAAGTGAACTCCGTCGTCACCGGACCCGATTCTCGATCTTTGTATCCTGTCAGTTCGTCATCGTCTATATCTCCAATGTCAGGTATCCAGATCAGTCAGTCGTCAGGTTATCGTTGATATCGTCAGTTTGTCGTCGTCATGTCGCGTATCGTCTTGATCATGCTGGCTTGACTGGCAGGTGTGCAAAACAGCGGGTATACCGCAAGGCTATCAACCTCCAAAGTTTCAAACTCAAGGGTTTTCCAAGCCGCCCAAACAACTATTCACCATCTCGCTCCATCAACAGGGATGCCCTAAACCTGAAATTCCTACAACAAGAAACAGAACCTTGTGGCTCACAATAGAAAGCCCATGACTCTTTTCCAATCTCTGCTGAGCTATGAAAGCCATACAAACCCCCAAAACCCCAACAACTTCTTCAAGCCTAGGCCTAATCACAAGCTTGGGGCCCCTTAATGTTGGGGCATCCACGAAAAAAGACCTGAACGCCAGACTTCAAGCCCTCTATACCCGAAAGCCAAATCCTCAAAGCAACAAACCCAAGACCCAAGCCTAACGGTCCTAACGCCTCAATGACAAGAACTGGCGAGCATTTAAAGAAAAAACTAAAGCACCTAAACCCTCAACCCCAAACCACAAGCTTAAAGCCCCCGAACCCGTAAACTTTAAAATGCAAAACAGATGTGCGCGACCACAATGTCCCGCAACAAGTGAGATCTTACATATCTTTTGGCGTGTGCGTGTCTGCGTTAAACCTTTTCAGCACTTACAATTAACTTGACAAGGCGATGTTGCTTAGCAGCGCAGTTTGTCGACTTGCCGTTTTCCTGGGGGCAGTGTTTAGCTGTTCAGGCCTATGCTTGGCCCTAGCGCTGACCTAAAGCAGCTGGGAATCGAGGGCAGCTGACGATTTGATGCAGCAGCTTCTTACAAATACAATTGAATGTCGTGCCAAATGGATTGCTTTGCTTTCTTCGAAAGATGCTGGGCATCTGGACCCAGTACTGGACAACGCACCAGCAACCGCGTCTGCTAAAAAGGGACATGAACATGCCACCATCGTGAAGTCGACCATCCATCGTTGTCTGAGTGGCCTGAAAAACTCCAGACTAGCGTTTACTTCTTGTGCCAGTGCTGGGTCTTGGAAACCATATGATCGTTGCAGGTTCACAGACGGGCTAGCCGCTAGCTCTGAAAAGGATACACAGTGCGGGATTGCTCGTACAAAACAAACACAAAAGTCGGGACTTGGCCTGCAGGTGTTTGTCAGCCGCATCCAGGCGGTTGTGGTAAGTCTTCATGGTCTCCAGGGTCTCCTTCAACACCTGCAACCAATCCGTCTCGAACAGGAACAAGCTGGTGCTGCTCCCACAGTACATGTTTGAGCTCAGCAGTGACCGGTACAGCAAGCAACATCCATGTCAACTGCCCCGCTCGAAATCTAGATCAAACCTATTGGCTGTGCCTTCTGCTGATTGAGGAGAGCCTTGTGCCGGCGAACCTCAAAGACTGAAGTATCCAGTCACTGCAACACCTGCACTTGCCACCTGTGTATAGACTTTGCACAAAAAAATCGCACCAGTAGCTTTTGCGACTGCAACGGGTTGTCAGCAGCAGCAAAACTGCCCGAGTCGCGCGTTCCTTGCCCTCCTGTTGCAACTGCAGGCTCATCGCATCCGGCTTTCACAGGCAGATCAACAGGGAAGCTCTTGGAATTTGGTTCGAGCCGCGTGCGCGAGCAGATCATGGGCAATCGGCCCCCGCCAGCCGCGGAGTCGGGACCGTCACTTCCTTGATTACGGATCCGGTATGGCACAGAGATGCACAGAGCTTGGCCGTCTTCCTGGAGGCGAGGAAGTGGACCCGGTCGCACGGCGTCCTCGGCAGGCTAAGAACTAGTCCCTTCGCATCATGAAAACTTGGCGCTTTATGGCGCTTCCAACAAGTCAGAAGTCGCGTATCTCGAAGCATCATGGCGAGCAAGCAAACGCCACACAACCTGCGCCGACGGCAGGAAGCTCCAGGGCTTGAGAGGCCATGCAGTGTCTGAAAGGTTCCTTCGGAAACACGTCATGTTCTCATTGGCTGAAACAAACAAAGCGGATGTACAGTCGAATGGCAGGCGCACTTGCCAAACTAGCAAAATAAGATCACCTGACGCAGCACATTAACTCTATCCTGCAGTCAAAAGTAAAGTTACAGGCAAGCGGAGGACAATCTCCGACAGAATGAAACTCCTACCTGCCAAACAAGATGTTGCAAGATGCTTGAAAGGAGGAGCCCTGCATTGATCTTGCGGACAGAACAGAGCTCTTCAGCTTCACCGAGGCAAGCAGTGGATGCCGTAAAGCCTTATTGCGCTTCGCTCCCGGAATTTTTCATCAGCTGCTGTCGCAAGTGCGGCTGCAAAGGATGTTTTGCGAGCTGTTGATCAGTGGTCCGGACCACCCTGATCCACCTTGTCATCCTCAGCTGTCTGATTAGAAATCCTTCTCCCCCCGTGCGTTTTCTGTTTGCGCAGTGCAGAGGTCGAGCACTGCGTCTGTCTGAAAACCAAGAAAGTTCAGGCCGCACAGTGCCGAATTCAGGAAGTATGCGATGGACCAGTCTTCCGCTTGCAATAGCTAGTCTCCTCTGCATTTCAGTGAGTTGCTAGAAGATTACTAGAAGATGGGAAGATTGCGGGCCATATTGATGCAACCATCCAGCTCCAACAAGATGAAACTCTAAGTTAATCCTGCGCCTGAACGTGGTCCGCCGAGCATGTCCGGCAAGGGCTTCCAGGAGGCAGCTTCACGAAGGTCCAAGCTTTCGGCTGAAGCCCTGACCAACATTGTCTCCAGCATAAAAAGCTTTCAAAACAACGTCAAAAATAGGTTGTCTCAAAGTGCGCATATATTCCGTGCAGATTGTGGCGCAGAGGCTCGTGGCTGTAACCACCGAACACCAGCAGATGCCCAGCAGCAACCACTGCAGCAGCACCAGCTCGAACTACAGCCATGGCTGGCAGCCTGCCAAAGAAATCTGCAAGCGCGTGCCTCTCGTTCGGAGCTAAGAAAGGCCAGCTAAGGCTGAAGCGATTCCCACGCCACCATACGCTTACAGTCCAGTCGCTCCACGGACGCCAGAGCAGGACCCGCACCTTCCTCAAAAACTGAAAAACAGCTGAAAAGCAGCTGACGGTAGCAAAGGAACACTCTATCCACCATGGTGCCTCTCCGCCACAAACATAGACGCAGCCGCCAGACACAGCGACAGCACAGTCAGCACGCGGCCCATGCATTGATGGCAATGTCTGCCAAACAGGTACACCGCCAGAGGCTTCTGTCAGTCCTTCCATTTACAACATAACATCATTGGCTGCATGAGCGCTGCATCCCTCCGTGCCATGGGCTTGGCTAGTTCATGCATCTGCTATTAAGCCGCCTGTTGCTGCCATGGGCTTTCCTGATTTACATGGGCAAGACCATCGACGTCTCCTATGTGCCTCTCCTCAGCCCCATGCAATCTGCCCTGTGAACCTTGTCCCTCTCCTCAGCCCCACGCGGTGTGCCCTGTGAACCCACCACATGACAACGCAGCCAACAGCCGATCGTGCAGACTCTGCAGACCATAACGTGTGGATGCTGGGCAGGCAGATGCAGGCCGGCCGGCCAGCCGGGCCGGACCGGGCCAGCATCTTTGGTGCATTAGTGATGTTTGGCATGGCTGAGAACCCGTTGAAACTTCTTGATGATGGCAGGGCTTGCCCCACCGTTTATCGTTCCATCACGTTACAAGAAGCTACTGGCTGGGAAATGGCAGTGTCTTTTATTCGAGTTGTTCCGTTCCTTCAGCATGTCCTGGTATGGCTGTCTACCCGCATCCTTGCATGTTTCTTGCTGGCGTCCTGGCCCTGAGAGTCTGGTCACATGAGGCTGCTGCTCGCAAAGCTGCGACTGGTCCACAGAACTCTGGCACGGGCACCTTTGTCTCATCCGACCGTCTCGCTGCTGGCTGCAATGTACTGCAACCACTACAAACATCAAAGCACGAGACTGACAAAATTCCTCAGGGATATGATATACTTCCGGAGAAGGGTCTACAAAAAATTGTTTTACCCAACGGCGACATCCCTGCAGAAAGCGAGCATGATGGCATGAGGGTTAAAGCTTCAGGGATGAAGCGTCTGAGCCTTTATTCCACCCATTTTTCGCAACTCACACCGAAAATCCGTTGAATACCAGCCTTTTGCAAACATTTTCAAAACTTTGGTTTTCAAAGCTGCTCAAGTTGCCAGTTCCATTTCAAGCTGCTCGCTGAAGGCGAGCTGGCTAGCCAACCCTTTCGCTAAGCCTCTAAACCGCAAGCCACATGAGGACTGAGCAAGCCTGAAGGGAATGATAACCGGCCACGAAGCCGGCTTAAGAGTAACTGCACAGCAGAAGTCGCAGGGGGAAGCGGAGGGGGAAGATGAAGTAGCAGACTTTAATGGGTTATGTGATTGTATAGCTTTTTTGAGCTTGGAACCACAGATCAGCGTTAGGGATTAGATTCGTCGTAACAATGCATATGCCGCTCCTTGCCCCAGGTTCAGTAAAGCGACCGATGCCAAGTAACAGCCATCCGAAATGCCTGCCAGCTGTTGTGGTGCAGAGCAGGTCAGTAACGCTTCCAGCCAGTCAAGCTCAGCCAATGAGCCCAACATACCCAAAAAGCTTTGCACTTGCCCAGGTTGCCTCCGCAGACCATAATACGGCCACCCACAAGAACCACAGCGGCACCTCGACGAGAGACTGCAGATGAAAAATGGTGCCGAAACAACGTTAATTTGAAAACAGAACAGATGCAAAATAAAAAAGAATGGCAAGAAAGTGAATCTTCGCTCGAGTCAGTACGAGTGGGATCGGGGTCTGTGTGTGGTGCCCGCGCGCACGAGCCATCCTCGGACATGTCTGCAGGATGTCACTCCCGGCAATTTGAATTGCCGAATCTTGCACCATCAAAGCTGATTAGCTTTTACAGTTTTCGTTTCGTCCATGTGCACACCTTCAGCAATCCGACAGGCAAGTGTGACGGCAGGTTGCAGCTTCGGCCACCATCTGATCAACATGTGTGTGTGTGTGTGCGCTACCACGGCCTTCCGACGTCCGCACCTCGTCCTTCTCTCCGCCTTTTTACACTTGGAAAGGCATACGTGTGTGACATGAAGGCATGCGAGGTAAGTTTCGCAGCTACGGTGATTGATTCAGTACTTTGTTGACGTCTTGCAAACTGTTTCACAGGTAGCAGAACCACAAGTAGATCGGGCCAGACAAAAGTTGCCGCCACGTTTTGCACCCTGTGCCGATTGTCTCTTCGCCCTGCACCAGCCTTCAAGCCAAGCGAGGCCTTAACCACAGCCCAGATCATGCAGCCAGTAATAGCCAATAGCAATGAGCCGGGCTACTCCGCAAACCTCACGAACCCAGAATAGTACAACTTGTGATCGGCATTAACAATCCACCTTCCATCATCTTTCACCAAGAACGTCCAGTACTGCGTGGCCTTCAAGACCCGCTTCCTCAACAGCCCACAGTCATTCCCCACACAAAAGTCATTTTGTTGCCGTAGAAGCTTACCGACTTACTGACTACTCCTCCAGACAACTGACACAGTCAGTCAAGTACATCTCAGTACGGTTCATCTGTCGAATGGCCATGGCCGGTTATTGCACGGACGAACATGCCAGCTACGCTTTCCTGAAACGAGCCATCACAACTCAAGGCTCATGGCTACCCGAAGAACTCGTAATTGAACTTCTGCGAAGGGAGGGCTTCAGGGCTGTACGGGGCAGACACAATAGATTGGGTAGAAGAGCAGCGTTTGGGTGGGTCGGTGGGTGGAGAGGGTCGCCACGGGATGGTTGAACAAATGGATGAAGTCATCGATCCGGCACTACTATGCACTACTCATACGGTTGCGGAGGCAAGTCCGACTAGATGACCGTGCTTGCCTTTATGCACCTGCTCTCACTCACGCATGCAAGGTGGCCAAACCGGTAGGGAATGCGCATGATAACCTTAAACATCGAAAACCTGTGCGGTCTCGAACGCCGAAGCAGCCACAATCCCGCTCGGAAGAACGAGTGTGTGTTGTAAGTTGTAACCTGTACTGGCTGATACAATAGTGAGCCAGGGGCAATTATTAATGGCTGTTGAACATGGAACTGTCGATTTGTGCAACAGCAGCCTACTCTACCAGGGTCCATCGCAGGCAGCCGTCGCCAGAGCTGGGCCTCCGATGTCAGCATTGAGAAGAACTCGATGGGATTCCACGTTTAGGCTATTGCAATACGAATCAAGCCTTCGTGTCCCAGCAGTCCGCTTGGACTTCCGAATCTTCGTCTTGACCTTGATACATCTTGATATCATCTTGATACGTCTGCCACACTCAGCAGAGCCGGGACGCGGCTCTCAGATAGATCAGCTGGCACTTTGGATCTTAGTTCCATGTTTCAGCCAAGCCAGGCCAAGCCACCACAAAGTAGCACCAACAAGTTCTCTGCCACAACCGCAGTGGCGAACTTGCGGGGACCACTGGGCAGGGGAGCCTGCGATTTCCAGACGCCGGCGGGAAATGAAAAGCTTTCGAAAGCATCGGTAGCACTGCCACAGGCCAACAGACCGCCGCAAACCTGAGTCAGCAACTTCAGCTGTCTTCCGGATGAAGCAATTTATCTGAAAACGTTACTTTTACTCGGAGCCTCCTTTGGCCAACATGTCGAGCGACATAGACGTTTCCATCAACCAGTGCCATGGCTGGTCGCGTGCGCCAGACGGAAGGAGCAGGAAGTACCTGAGCATTCACCGTCCACGGCAAAACCCGGGCCAAACCCGGGTACTGAACATGCTCGAATAGCTGGCGAACGCAACACGAGAAGAACGAGGAGGCAGGAGATGTCTAGAAGCCCAACCTCCTGAAACTTGTTGGTGCCGTAAGCATTGAAACGCAAAGCTTGGGCTGCCATGCAAAGGTCCTGCAAGGCAGCAAAGACTACCAAGCGTGCGACAATACACGACACCACAACAGCGCGGGAGTGGCACTTGCGCTTGAGATCATGGAGCGAGCTCCTAGACGCATGACTGCTTTCCTCAGGTTGCTCGTCGTCGCTCGTGTATCCGAGCAAGAAGGCACACTCGTCACTCGCTGACCAAGCTGTAGCAGTCACTGCTAGCGGAACAGGAAGCGTCATGAGCCAACTATGGGACGCAGGATCCCAGAGCTCTACTATCCAGGATCTCTCCTCCAGACACTCGTGTCAAAAGAGAGCACCGCATCCAAAATGGTGCTGCCCATTGCATGTACTATTCGCACAGACAGATTAAGTGCAAGAAACAACTTGTCCTCCAAAATGTCGTTTGCAACAACAATCTTGCAAGGATAAAGCCTGACCACGAACTTCAAGAACCAACATTCTGAATGCTTGCTATTGAGCTGAGCTGAAGTTACTGTTGCAGCACCTCTCCAGCATGGGTCGTAGAGCCACCAGTTCGACAGCAGACTGCCGTGTTGTGGACAGAAGGGCGGAAATCCCTCTCTGCCCAAGAGTTGTGGCGACCTACCACGGCAGAAGCAGACTTCGAAGACATGCTTGGTTCGTCTGCGGAGCCTCTCGCAGAACGGCTCCCGTCAACATCTCCATGAACAGTGATGCTCGGCATGGCTGTCATGCAGCTATAGTTTTGCGGGGGGCGCGGGGGGGGGGGGTCTCAGCGAAACGAGCGGCCGTGTTCTGACTTGATCCCTACAGAAGTCTTCCTCTGCGTAAGCCGCGATCCAGAAATGGCTGCAACGCCACGAAGGTGTCATGCTTTGAGTCGACCACCTGGAAGTAAAGCTCTGAGTGCGCTGACTCCTGCTTGGAAGTCGGCCAAAAAGATGGACTTCAGCTTAGCTTCACTCTCCTGCGATATGCAGAACGGGTAACGAACGACATGCCATGCACCGCACGCTGCCGAATTCGATGTCAGGTACTTGCAACTTGAAAATCTGCACACTTTTGTGCACGCATCTACTTTAATCGTAGACGCAGCACCCGCCTGCCCCTGCTTCTTCAATGCCTTGCAGCCAAGGGCTTGAAAAAAAGCTCATCGAGATCCACAGTATGGCTGCACGCACTGCCGCAGCACTAACAGTCATGAGAATGCATCCGAACATGTGCATGTTTGATGTGCGTAATCGACTTGATCCCCGCCATGCTCACCCGTTGTCGGAAATTCAGTGCAATAAAGCACACAAGTTATCTTCTACCAGGCGAAGCATGCTTGTCTCACCTTCACTCCTGCCCTCCAGCTCCGACCGCACCACTCCTCAACCTCACGCCTATTGAAGACACAGGCGATTCTAGAATCGCATTACTTCTTCTCCATTGTTGAAACAGGCACGTCACATTTTGTCCGAGGTCTCCACCTTGATGCCACTGGCCAGCATAGTGATCAAACTCTCCGGCTCGCTGTTGTTCTGGCAGCAAATCGACCGATCTATTGCCTTTGACTTCGGACATCGGATACACCCTTATGCGACACCCTTCGAAGGCGTACCCGCTACAGCTAGAAGCCGTCCCAGAACTAACAAGCCTTAGCCTCTGGGCTTTTCTCCGCTGGCTCCTCGGAGCTTGCATTGAGATCATAACATGTATGCTCTCCAGGCTTTCCAGAGATGCTTTCACACAAGGAGGGGACTCAACAGCCATGCCTGGGGGTGATGCGAAAAACGGCCTGCGTGTCTCAGACTGAGCAACGAGCATTGAATTACATTTGCCGTAACCCCAACTTGACTGTGGCAAGTCTGGCGGGCTGCGCATCAGACACATCATGTCCAATGATGCCATGCTCCTATTCCGAAGAATGAGTCCAGTCTTCTATCGGCGGAAACGACCCCGTCCGTATTGGAGGTCGAAGAAAGCGCCAGCAAGGACAGGCCCTTTGGCGAAGCGCCTTCCTGCAGAGCTGAGGCTGTTAATTTGGCAGCTGAGAGCATTCAACCCTGCATCAATCTGGAGAATAGAAGCCGCAAGTGACAGTGGCCGCGTGTTGCCGCCAGTGCCCCAGACAGAATCGTAGATCCGATCTGTCCTCCGCGAGCACATCCAAGTCTGTTGCCTGAAAAGCAAAATTCAAAAGATAGCCAGTGTAGCCCGAAGACCTCTTGAAACAAAACCAGTACGCATGCAACATGAACGATGTACCTTGGTGTCGTCCGTCTGCTCAACTGACTCTGTTAGGAACTTCTGTGCAGCTGCGAGCTGGTCCTCGCGAAAGCACTGTTACTTCTTTCCAGCGGCTTGAACGACTGCGCTGCGAAGAATTGCAAGACACTACAAGGAAGATGTTGGTGCGGTCGTGCGGCTTAGTGCTGTGCTCGACAAGCCGGATTGCGGCAACCCCGACAGAACACAGCATTCACAGTTCTGACTTCAAGGCAGAGGAGACAGATCCACGGTGCCACTGGACGTCCTGGAGCATCTTGAGCTCGCTGTGGCGCAGTGCATTTCCCTGGCTGCTACTGAAACAGACAAAACTGCGCATGCTGGTCACACCAAAGAGGCGCAGCCTTCTGCATGGACTGCGCATGGTGCAGCAAATCTTCGTTCACCTTGACAGTCTCGACTCGGAAGCTATCACCACATGTTTTGGCATCATTGAGAGCACCAGTGCCTTTTTTGTGTCCATGATATTTTTGGCAATCAGAGCATTCTCCTGTGTCGATCACTGTCAAGTTGACAAGAACTTGGAATCCCGTTCACGAGCACAGCTCGCTTTCTTCTGGCAATGTTCTGGTCCCACACCCCCCTTTGGGTGTCCACCTTGACCACCTCCAAGTTCTTCTGTTCCTGCTCCTGGCCATGCTTTACATGAACCACAACCACAGTAGCAGCAACTGTTGTGACGACGACGATGACAACAAACCGCACCTTCAGCTTGCGGTCGAAGACTGCCTTTTGACGCTGCATCCGTGCAGCATTCTCTTGCTGCACCTCAGGAAAGGGCAGGATCTGCTGACTGCTATGTGGTATGCACCTTGCTTTTGATCAACAGCGCGCCAAACCACAAGCCTGCATCATCTGTGTCTGCAAGCGTTGCGCTTGTGTGGAAATGCCTCCGGTGCTGAGCATGGGACAAGCCGGAGCCCTGCTGCTGACTTCTTTGTGCATATTCAACATACGCTGGCGAATCGCCAGCAGTTGTCTGTCTCAGAACTTCGTCTGAGGTAGAAACCGGTCAGTGTTTGTGCCGCGTCTGACAACATCGTCGAAACTGCCGGAAGCTCGGGGAAGCCAGCCTTTCCTGCCTCACATCCGTCATGAACAAGCAAGCACCAGCAACATACCTGCACGTACCACACTGCACAAGTCAGCTCTGCACATCCACGACGTTGGGCACCTGAGCGGCGCTGCTGGACAACAATGAATCATTATGGTGAGCCGTACACAAACTGGTGGAGCAAGGTTCGAACTGAAGGCAATGAGACCTGTAGCAATGGCATTCCGAACTGCTACTTTGCTGAACGAAACAGCCGCGTGCCTCATTCGGGTCCGGAAGACTCTCCTTGTTTTTTCCCTGCGACACAGGGGCACACTAACGCCGGAAATCAGCGACACAACATTCAGCATGTCCGAAATTTGGTAAGAATGATTGTGCTTCTGCAACAATTGCGCATGAAGCCACTCTTCGCCTGTGCCTCCAAAACGACTGCATCGAGCTGAAACACCAGAGATGCAGCAACGGGCACCAAAACACGTGCCAGCTTCATTGCCTCATCACAACATGCTCAGAAACGAAATGATCATGCGGCTCAAGCATGCCATGTTAGTGTTGCAACCGAGTCTCGCCGACCAGGGCCGCAAGCTGTTTTGACGCTCGATACCCTAGAACCAACTGCCTGCCCCACACAATGACACACTGCGGCTCCGAACGCCAAGGGGAACACATGCAAACGTAAACGTCTCAAATTCCAACAGCATCATAAACCGAAGCTTCTCGGCAATTCGAAACGGCTCCACAACTGCATGGGTGTAGCAGTTTTCGAATTTTGAGGGCTCAGTTCAACATTGATAAAGTATCCGGTCAAGTCAAAAAACGTCCATGTCGAAACAGAACGGCCTGCTAAACAAACGGTTCCCTCCATCCTGTCTCAAAACATGGTGTGAATTCACAAGATAAGCTTGAAGCTTTGTCGCTAGCATCAAAATCGTACCGGTAGCCCAGCATTTCTGCCTGCATCCCACTTGCACATCGCTGCCTTATAATCAAATCCTTGACGACTTTCAAAGAACTGACTGCAAAAAAAACAAAGAATGCTGTTTCAAATCTGTTGAAAACGAGATTAGCCATTTTGTTGCCAATCGAACGGTGATGCGGCCAAACTTGGAACGGAAAATTCCACAGCGAATCCTGAATTGATAGAGGACTCATGTTGGCCAAACTCTTCATCTACGTTTCTGGACTACAAACTTTTCCAAAAAAAATCAATTGAGCATACATGCTTCTGTGATGCATCGTCAGCAATACGGTTTACATTGTCAACGTGACAGTTCAGAATGCTGAAAAGTGCTTGGCGCGCTATTTCCAACTTGCTTGTGACAACTACTACTACCATTCGCATCTTTTCCCGAAAGCATCGCGAAAGGTTCTTCTGTGCGAAGCCTTTTAGAGAAGTACATAGGATCAAGTACACAGAGTACTATGCAGGCAGAGTCAAGTGTACAGAGCATGGTGCACAGAGTATAGTACACAGAGTGAAGTA